CCCCCCCCCCCCCAACCCCGGGGGAGGGCTATAGCTCAGGGACAGACTCAACTTTGTTTCGGGTTGCCAGGGTGAAGGCTTTTCCCAGCCGCCCATGGAGGCGGGGAACGTGCCGGCGTTGCTGGGGGACCAGGGATGCCAAGCAGGGCACTCGCTGGCTCCGGAGCAACCGGCCAGGCACAGGCAGCCGCAGCGGGGCTGGGGAGGGCAGCACACTTTCACCATGCCCCCCTCATCTCTGGCAGCAGAGATTAAAAGAAATTATTTTTCCCACCTTGGTCCCTTTTTAGGGGAGCAAGTCTGACCCCAGCTACATCTCTCCTGCCAGTCGACCTTGCTCCTCTGGCAGAGGGATGAAACACTCCAGGGAAGTAGCAGAGAGCCAGCAGCTCACCCGGCAGGTTCTGCAAATCTCATTCTGGGGGACAGAATCCATCCCTGCCTGCAGCAGGTGACTGAGAGCAGGAGGATTAGTAGCCCTTGTCATGGTAATCCCAGCTGGAAGTAGAGCTGCTCTTCATTTTATTACCACACTAAGCTTTTGCTACAACTAAATCCACTCTAAATACTTGTTTAAAATACCATGATATGCTGTTCCCATGCCTGGTTTTAATATTAGTTACAGGAATGATGTATTTAAATTAACTAAAATTGGAAAACTAAAACCCACAGGTCCTAAAAATACAGGCATACCAACACTAAAAATTCCACAGTCTACCAGTCTCTGATAAAAACATCCTTGGGCAAATCTGAAAGCTATTACCTGATGCTGCATAATTGGAACAAAGAACTTCTGGTCTAGAATTAGCCATCATGGCTATTATAGGGGGAAAACACACAGGACTGCCAGTTATCCTCCTTACCTTCTGTCCTCTCCTCTTACAAGCTTCCCTGCTGTGGAGAGCACGCTGCGCAGGGCAGGGAAGGTCAGGCTAAATAACTGCATTAAAAAATCTGTCCAGTGGGAGTCAGGCAAGTGCTGCCTCTTCAGCCACAGATCTTGGTCACAGCGGAGACGAGCTGGCTAGTTCCTATCCTAAATGTATCTGCCCCCAGTAAGAGGTGTTTTTCCCCCCACTGATCTTACTGGAGAGCAGCAAACGGAGCCCCCAAGCTCGGCAGAGCAATTCCTGAGCTCCTTGAAGCAGAGATCACTATTCTGTCTTATTTCAGTCGTGTTCTCCTCCTCCTCACGTTCATAAAAGCAGCCTGGTAAAATGAAGTGTGATATCCCTTCACTGATGGCCTGAGGTTTCCAGGTCCAAAGCACAGCCCTGAAACTCAAGGGCTTTTGTCTCAGCAGCCTCCTGCAGCTGCTGGCCCCACCATTACGCAGCGATCGTGGCGAGGCTCTGCTCTAGTCTCACTGGGCTGGTATCAGTAATTTTCATCGTGTTAACTTGCCCTTTGGCTGGGCTCACTTCCAGGACCCAGCAATGTCCCTCCTTGCAACCCACCACACCCCAGAAAATAGGGTTTAAAGAGTGTCTGCTGTCCTTTACAACATCTAACCACCTTTTCAGCAGCCAGTGAGCAGCTGAGCCTCACTGCTTCCAGATCATGCTCGGGCACCTCAGATCTTTGTAATTTGTTTTTATTCAAAACAGTCTGAGCTACCAGAGTACTGAGACTGCCTCTGTTGAACTGAGAAATCCTGTTCCAGGGGCAGCGGAAGAAGGAACAGTGGGTGCTGCTTGTCCAGAAACTGGTGGCACCAGGAATCAATTAACCAGTGGTGATTTTAGGCTCTGCTGGAACAGCATGTTAAGGTTATAGTCATTCCTAGCCAAGCCTGTGAATTAGTGGCTGTTCTCCAGGTCCAAATTTCAGGCAGTATTCCTGGCTGGTGCAACAAGGTGCAGAGTTGACAAGATGACAAAGGAGACAGATGAAAACAGTCAAGTGCAGCACTGGCTCAGTGGTGTCCTCCACACCCAGACCTCACAACAGCGTCCAACTCCTCCCTGGAAACTGGGCCTGTGTCTGGATGTGTCTGTCAGGTCTGCAGCACCCCAGCTGGCAGCTTCAGTTCAACGTAGCTCTTCTCCTCCACGTGGTTTGTCTGCTCCAGGAGCCACCATCTCTCCTGGTCACTGACATCCAGCCTCAGCGTCACCTCTTGGAAAATGCTGTTCACAGCAACCTGTCTCAAAGAGGAAAAACAGCTCAATCCCAGTCACAGGGCAAACGCTGCTCACGTTCTCTGGGTAGGAGATGGGATGTTACCACACCTCCTTAAAATGAAGCTTTTTGAACATGTAGATACTGGCTTCATTTTCCTGACCAATCTTGGCCTCAAATTTGGTGATGCCCAGGTTTCTCACTCCTACAAAAGAAATCAAAAAGACAAGCATTTCTATTACCTGCTAGGCTGCCACATCTGTTAAGGCACAGGACCCCAGTTTCTGGGGCAGATGCATCCCTTACTGCCCTGTATCACAGGGAATATGTGCTTCTATATCACAGCCCAACTGTCCTCCTGTTGCCGTGCACTGCGCCACCCTTACCATAGGACATCATCATCAGAGTCGCCTCCTTGCCAAACCCTCTGCCTCGGTAGCTGGGATCTGAAAGAGAGCGCCACAGAAGTCAGCATCCAGTTATGTGCGACAAATCAGTCACGATGGACACTTTTCAGAAGAGACGGTAACCTGGAACAGCAAAGGATGCTGATCAGCCAAGGGAAGACAATGAGAATAAAAACGTAACATCTGTCTGCAGCTGGCTTTAGACACAGCAACAAATGTCTAAATTATGAAGCAAAACTTGACCTGCAATCATAATTTCAATCTCGCCCAAAGTCGGATCCTCAGCGTCAGTGAGGAAGAGATTCACATCCCCCACCATGCAGTCCTCATCCGCACATGCCTGCCCAGACCACCGCTCCGTGTCCAGCACAATGAAGGTGCACTCTGGGGAAGAGAAAAATGCAGCAGCATTTTCAGGGCATACTGATAATTATTCACAAATTACCAAAGGATGAAATTAAAGGCATGCAATGGACAGAGGAACAACAGTTTCTACATATTAACAGTGAGAAAGAGCTAATAATTAGGTCTTCCGTGCCAAGCGTGCCTGCTCCCATCCATAGAAATGTAAGAAATATTTTGAAAAACCTGTTGTGATGGTGACGCAGACACCCAGACAAGAAAGAACCTATTTAAAGAGCATGAAAACTTACATCCCATGTCTGAGGTCTCCCTGCCTTGTCTCACTAAGCAGCAAGTTTGGGCAAAGAATTTTTTGATGCACAAGAGACCAAAACCTAGTGATTCACTTAGTCCATGTTATTTTTGCTTTTAGTGAGGCTTTTTAATGCCAGATAAGACAAATGCTCCAGTCTGAGGTCTTTGCCAGCCTCAGTATTTTCTAGCTCACTATATTCCTACCAGGCTTTTATGGGCAATGACTCATTACCTGTAGAAGAGCCAGGGAATCAATTCAGTTAATACACCTCAACCAGGTAATTATAAAATAATTCCATTTCTCAAGGAAAAAAACAACCCCTTTCCACCTTTTTATGACAATCACACCTGGGGAACGTTGACAGTGCAGCAGCTGCTCAGCAGATAATGCTGTGGGAAGTAAATCACTATAGTCTTTGAAAAACTGCATAAAAAGAACACCAACAGCCCTGGACATTCTCTACTTCCCTAAGCATATACCTACTCTAACCAGAAAGCCAGTTCAAAGCTGCTGTTGTAGGTCTCACATCCCCTCTGCTTCAGCAAGCAGAGCCCACTCACCGGATGCCCTCAGCCCTCTGTGGGCTCTTTACAGGACAGAGGGACCTGCTCACCGCTCCCACCCACCCTTAGAAAACGTTTAAGATCCTCACTGTCTGCATCGTCCCGCCAGCTGCGCTGCATCTCGTACTCCTGCTCCAGGCTGAGTGGTTCAGAGGCCGTCAGGCGCTGCAGCTCCTCTGACTGCATCCACTCATGGTACCTGACAAGGGGACCCAGAACCAGGTCACTGCCTGAGCTGCAGCATCGCAGACTGATTTCCACAAGTGCTCTGAGGATCAGGCTGTCATGAAACAGTTCTGGAAACACCAGCCTGGTATTCATGGCAACTTAAAAGTATCCACAAGCCCCTCTCCCTTATCTAACGTGGTGTTCTCCATGGAAATTTAGCAAGTTTGTCCATCCTGTAGCTTTGTCTGAAGAGTGTCCGATGCAAATGTGATGGTTTTGAAAGTACTGAGCATGGAGTTCTGGTACAGTTCATCCTGACTGAGACAAATACAGCATCTCCTGGACACTGACAGAAAGACTAATACTGGCATTTTTGTGCTGAGGCTGCAGCTGGCAAGGCCAGCGCTTTACAAACCGCCCGCACGCCTGCTTCTAATTTATCAAACATCCATCTGGCTTTACACAGTGAAGTTTTACATTGTCCTTACGGAAAGACATCAGTTAACAAGAGAAGTGTTGGCGGTTCACTCACAGCCAGGTATTTCTCTTTCCGTGGGTACACAGCGGCACAGATGAAGTTCTTTTTGTCAGCAGACCTGGCAAGGAGCAGAGAGCTGCCAGGGACGTCTGCTGCCAGGCACAGAGAGCAAAGCTGCCTGCCTTTCTAGGAGTGCTCCTCCTGCTGTGCAGTTCCCAGGAGGAAGAGGGCCCTGCCGCTCTCAAGCCCCCACCCTTGCTGAACACCACGCTCCCTTTAAAAAGGGAAATCAGACCGTGCAGGAGTATCAGAGCAGGGACACGAGCCACATACCGGGGTACGTGTGCAGCTGTGTATGGCACCAGGGTCACCCTCTGTCCTTGCAGCACCGTGTTCTGGTTGATCTTCATGGCCTCTGCGCTGAGAGAGACCCAACACCCCGCCCCGGGTCACCAGCGAGGCCGAGGGATGGGGCAGCACCCCGGAGCCCTTCGGGAGCCAGCGGTGGCCGCTCCCACTCTGCGGGCAGGCCCCAGCTCGTACCAATCGCCCCCACAACGACCCTCCCGGTTCCCCCCTGCTGATGCTAGCTTCACATGGCAATTTGGGTTGATGAAAACATTAAGAAAATATAAGTGGGTAGAAAGATGCAAGAGCAGGTATGGGACAGGCAGCTCTTTTGAACACATTTAAAATTATACCTTAAGCAGACATCATCCCTTCATATAATATAAAGTGATCTGTGATATAAAAACCCCCCAAATAACTACAAGTACCAAGGATTTAAGTACCCTTTGACTTCCATCATCTCTTGAAACACTGATGTTATGTCCATGGAGAAGTAGGAAGTGAAAACACAATGTTGAAAGAGTAGGATTTTGAAAAGACTCATGAGCAAAACCACAAAGAGCAGTTACTTACATAGGGAGAGTAAAGCTCTCCTGTGTCAGTAATGCCACCAGCCATGTTGAAGACAGTGGGAAAGCTCACAGCAAAGTGAGAAGGATGTTTTTAGGAGAGAGTTTTCAACTTCTATTGCCTTTAACCTAGGGAAACATCATAAAGTTGTGTTAACTTTGTCAGAAAGAGGAGGAACTCACAAGTCAGCTTTTGCACATCAGCCTTATGATATTTGAACAAAAGAGGATTTCAGCAGGACCTTGCACTTTGGACAGATATACCCCACTCGCCAGCACCACTCAATTCAATACCCTACGAAAAGTTCTTGTACCTGTTAAACCAGTTTAAAAGTAACCAGAAGGCCCTGCCTGACCAAACTGGATGACCAAACTTTACCTTCCCCAAACAGCCAGAAGGGTTGTTTCAAACGCCAAAAACCTCAAGAGGAAGAATGCCTGCCTTGAGGATGATCTCATTCCGCTTCTTCTCACTCAGCTACTACTTTTACAAAGCACGTGCCTCCTACAAATCAAAGCAGTAAAAACAGCTTCCAGCCTCTCCTCATAATCTCAAGTACAAAAGTAAGTTGACAAATTAAAATACTGGACCTGTGAAAACACCCCAAGATGTTTTGTTACACATATCAAGGTTTCCAAAGCAGAAGTACTGGGGGAACTTCACATGGTCTTAGAAAAACTACAGGGGGAGAGGGAGAATCCA